AAAGCAAAGTTGTAAATAGTGCAAATTTTTACTATGCTTACTACTTTCTGGCTTCTAAGTAAAAAATTTTCGGCTCGAAAATTTACATATATAAATATAAAAAGTAACTTGTATGTTCTGAATTGGAGGTACCCTCGGATTTATTTACGTACGTACGTTGGTCAAAAATTTTTACCATTTCGTGTAACCCGAGCTCGATCCGACAATTCAGATTCGTACCCCGGATCGGACTTGCGAAGCATTAATACAAGCCTAATACAAGCTGATATTATCGTTATAGCAAATTACGATCCGAGCAACTTTATTTAGTACATCGGTTAGCTAAAATTTGATTTTCGGGCATAATTAAGTCAGTAAGCTCGGATTACACCAAATGGTAAATTTTTTGGACATCACTTAACTAGAGAAAAATAGCATACGTAGCGATATCACGATATTACGAAATCAAACTAAATTTGGTAAAATTTTTCTTATTTTGTTCTATAGACATATAGAATTAAAAATAAACCAATTTTATCCACATGGTTATCGTAATATCACTAATACTATTTTTGCTACTATAAAAAGGGTACAAGTCGTATATAAAAATTAACGATACTGTAAATTTCCTAAATTTTGAACCTCCACAAAGTGTACAGTACGTAGAAACCTCAATCTCCTTACATAAGAAAAAAAAATCGGGTATACTAAATAAGTCGCTATTGAGAATGAGAAACTTATGCAAGTTTCCTGCTTTGATGCAGGAAATCCAAAAACTTTAATTTATATAGATGAAGTTATTCGCTATTGATAACGTAATACATTCTATTTTTGGTGAATTGTTTCTATGAATAGTTTCTATATCTGATATAGAAAATTCTTAAATTCATACCAGATACTAATGGTGCTTCAAGTTCATAGAAGCATGTACTTTCGTATGATTAGTTGATATAAGTCAATTTCTTGGGTAACTCACTAAAATGATACATCATTACCTTTGACATACGTATTACTAATTAAAAATGAAAAACAATGCACTCATAAAATATTAATTTGTTTGCTTCTTACTTCAAAGTTCATTATCCATCTAATGGACTAACTTAATTAACAATGTAAGTACAGTACTAAGATCGTTATTAAATTAAACGATATACGTACATATATAGTTACGTATTCATTTGTTTAAATTATGACCTTACCCGTCATTGAAATCATAAAATATAGAAAACAGACAAATAAATCTTCACAGTGTCAAATATTAGTATAGATTGTTCGTTATTCGCAAAAAATGCTCATTGACTAAGCTATACAGATACATGTTAAGGTTTAACCAAACACTAACCATTTATCAACCTATCACCCAAGCTTTATCAATGAAATGGCTGTCAATAAAATAATTTATGAAATTGATTTATACTATAATTATACTAAATTTTTAAAGCAATGACTGAAAAATTTCTTATTGTTTTTTTTTATATATATTGTAATTAAATGTATTTCCTAATACCAAATAAAGCTTCCCGTTCCTGGTTTTAGCGTGACTACATCATGCAGCTATCTAATTAATAAACATAAAACAGACCACATATAAATGATCTGCAAATTTCTTGCGTACAGTACGTACAATACTGTACGCGGCACATCACTAGTCATGATAGTAACAACCCGGCCAGGTTGAATGATCAAATAATCCAGTGCGCATTGCACATCACTAGTTTTGATTTTGGGTACATATCAGCCTAGTACTATTTTTTAGCATTACAATGGGCCAGGCATAGTTTGAAATTAAAACCCAGCCTGGCCCGTACTTACGGGCTTTTTTTTTTAATGGGTTGGGCTTGGGCTTGTAAATATTTTTTGGGCTCAGTTTTGGGTCCATGTAAGCCCGGCCTGACCCGGCCCATTCCGTCCCCTAGTATTCAGGGTAAGTCATGCTCCTAAATTCATCTGTTTTCAGATAGCTAAAGTATTTATCTATTGCATCATTTCAGTAGAGTTTCTCTTCATTATCGTCATCGTTTTCAAGGGCTCTTAGTTGTAGGTGTATAGGTTTTACTGCTCTGGTGCGTAGATTTGAGGGAGCAGAGGGTAAGTATTGAACTGAGACAGTCGATCGGGTTATTTGATATTGAAGAAGTAAGATCATTAATTCCATTGCCCCTAGTCTTCTTGCTTGTATATGAGTTCTATAGCTATCACGGTCATCAATATTGAAGGTTTCTGAAGGCTCAGGTTTTGTTACATATTTCGTTACATACTTAGTGAATCCTGTCATAGTAACGTATTAGAAATTGATATGGCCTTGCTATATCATTAAGGTCTCTGAATAGTAAGGTACTATCCATTGGTCTTTTTCTTTTGTTCTTTTATACACATATCTGTGTAATGATTGTCTCTATGTGTTGTATCTGATAGAAGTTGGGAGAATCCTTTCCTGCATGATACTCTGTCGAAGATGGGACCACTGCACTTATCCAGGTGGCATCTATATCAATGTTGCAAATGTAAAATAAAGGTATTAAATAAAAATTAATTATTTTTTTTTTAATTTTTTCTTTGATTATATTTTTTTTTTATTCTTATTTATTTCATCTATTTAGATTAAATTATAAAAATATATACATATACAAAATTGAGTTAGAAGTTCAAGAAACAAATAAATTGTGTTAACCTGTGAATTTGATATGTCGTAACTAAATAATATAGCTCTGGTTCCTGATTTTGGTCTGGTAAGTCAGCCCATATTGTATTTTTTTCAATTAATTTAGGGATCTTAATACTCGTATAAGTGAAACCGTGAGTATGTATAGTGTCTCTATTCTGGAATTTGTCTCTCTCAAAATAATTTTTGAGTTTACCCCATTGTGTTAGTTTAGTATTTTTTCATAACTTGTTATGTATATTAGTAAGCTTATAGTGATAGAATAAGTAGACATGTAGTTGTCAGTAATGGGTCTCTGTTATCAGTTGATAATAGAATTTCTTTGAGATGATTCCATTTATCCTCTGCCATGGTCATCGTGTAGAAGATTTGTGGCAAACCATAAGAGTAAAGCATCGTATTCACTTGGAGTTCCTTTTTTTCGAAATAAGGAGCAGTGGTTCTTAAGCTCGATCATATAGTAGTTGTTTTTGATTTGTTGATTATTGGTTGGCCAGTATACACACTTTTTGCTATGAATATGATAGAAATTTTAGATAATAATTATGAATTTTTTTTTAAATTAGGAGTTCAGAAAAAAGAAAAAAACCCAAACATTCAAAGATTTTACAGGTATATGTATATTTATACATGTTATGCGCATACATAAGTATCTATATACTCGAGATGAATTGATGCAATTTATTGTAAAAACAGCAGTTAAATAACATATATATACCTATAAGGTCAGCTCTTGTTGGGTGATGTTCCTGTGATATGCTTTTTTGATTTAGTAGCCTACAATTGTATTGAAAATTACGTCTTTTTTCTAGATTCAAATACGACCAGTGCGGCCAGTACCAGTTTAATCTGAACCTTGAATTAGGGCAGAGCATTCTGAGTTTGATATACTTTCCATAGCTCTCTGTGCTTGAGTGAAGGTCTAGTTAGCTGCATATGTTTTCGTAATGACCTTTTCTAGTAGGAAATAGGTCAGAAAAAATCATTGCTTCGAGGTTGGATCACTATAAGATACTGGTAGAGTCAAGTCATCTAAATTCATGAATCCGGCTATAAGTCTTTTATATCTTAGGTCTTTGTTGTATATTTTAGGAGGAAATTCATTGTTAGGGATTACGAGGTCAGGGATCATGGAGTTGTTTCATAATGGAACAGTGTTAGTGTTTTCTTGATATTGTCTTGCTAAAGGTAAAGGAATTGGTGACGGGTTTGATGGAGATGGAGAAGTGATATTAGGTAAAAGCGTGTACTGATGAAATATTAGATTATTTAATTTTAGCCAATTGCGGGTGACAGGAAGGGTTTCATGATACCAGCGTGTTGGTTCATTTTGGTCTAAGAAAGCACCAATCATGCCAGAGAATAATTCAAGTGTGTGGAGGTTTTTGCTTTAGAAAAAATTATCCCATAGAAATCGGTATGTTGTATAGAGATTTGATCCTAGAGTGCAATCTAATAAGCATGTCATGTGGATTGGTGAGAGATATTTTCTGTGTTTCATTGGTACCAGGCTTATTTCACGAGGTACGTCTGATAGAACAGGAGGAAATCTTCTGGTTTTTGGGTTTTTACAGCTTCTACAGATAGCTATTTTACTAGGTTTGTTGGTAAAATGGCAAAAGTAAATGGATATATAAGGAAAAGCTACAGATAAAATGTAATCTTCATTTGGAACATATGTTATCCACTGTGTTGAGGACTAATACATCAAAATCGAACAGTAACAGTAAGGAATATAAGGGTGATTATGCAAAATCTTTGGTTTAAATTGATTAAGAAGTTTTTTTAATATAAGTGACAGTCTCCAGAGCAGGAAAGCTAATGGTGAATCGATTGATTGGTCATGTTGTGATGTTGGTGTGGGATTGTTTATGACGAATTGGTTTATTTTGTTGTGATAAGTATAAGGCTGGAAGATAGTAATATTACTTGTGTTTGAGTTTTCTTCATTTAAGTTTAATGAAATATTGCTCTCATATTCGTGAATAGTTGAATAGAATAATTCAAGTTTCTACTCATATTTAGGATTGTAGAATAGGTCAGGTAAATGAAAAATTTGTATATTAAAAGGGTAATATATGTATTTTTTTTTTAATATTAATTTTTATTTTTTAATTTACTTTACAAAAGGAATTTTCAATGTCAACTTGATAGAATGACAGTTGAGCCATAGTTTTTATATGCGATTTACAGGCCAAGGTTGAAATCTTATTTATTATGTTTTTTTTATTATTAATGTTGATTAATACATTTTATTTTCATTGTTTAGATAAAGAAGATAAAACAAAGAGGTGTATTTTGAATATACAAAAATAGATAATCAGGTATATTAAAATTATTGGTGATTATTTAATTATTCTTAAGGTGTGTCTTCATCATCGAGATTATTTGGTTGTTCTTCATCTAAATATAGTCTATTAGTATCCATTTCAACTGTGGTATATAAGTGTTCAGCAGAATTTTCATCTGATCGTGTTAAATTTACTGCATTATGTTGAACTTCTGCATTATATTGAACTTAAGTATTATATTGAACTTCTGCACTCTCAATTTCTAGATTTTTGAGATATTAGTAGAATTTATTAATAGTATATTAGTATAATCATTATTATGTTTATTTTATTATTATTATTACGTTGTTCTCTCACACGATTATATAATTGTAACATAGTAAATTGATTTAGAACATGTCTATAAGGGAGTTGTGTTGATACGGAGTTTTCTTATTATAAACTAAAAGATAGTTTGGTCCAAACACTATTATTTGGAGGGACGATTATATTTTGATTTTTTATTTATTTATTTTTTTATTTTGTTTTTCATTTTTTTATTTATTTTTTATTTATTTATTTATTTATTTTTATTTAATTTTATTTATTTATTTATTTTTTCTATTTTTAATTTTTTATTATCATCTTACCTTTAATTTCATTGACTTGGTTTATAGCAGATTTCAATCTTTTTGCCCTTGAGAAGCTTTCTTCTTGTGGGTCTTCATTTATATTCTTTGTTACATTGCGAGGTTGTTTTTTATTTGGGGGTGGACTAAATTTTTCTACTAATTTTTCTAACTCTTCATTTCTTGATTTTCTATCTTTTATTGATTTATCATCGCTAGTTTTAGAGTTTCCTTGATTTGGATAAGTCTATTCAATTACTTTACTTAGCACACACACTGATCTTTTCATCATTACTAATTCACTAGTGACTGAGATTATAGGTTGACGTTTCGTGGCATCAGCCACATTAGCATAATGACCTTTGGGATCATACTTACACAAAATGGACATTGTAACTAGGGACGCAGTTATGCTATTGTTTCTCTCTTTAGACGGAAAGCAGCATTATCACCTTCTGGAGTGCTAGGATCTTGAACTAGAGCTGTGAAAATACCAAAGGGCAGAGATATGGGAGATCATACATTGATGGGTAATCTTCTAAAGTTTAAATTTTAAGGGGATATTCTGTTTGATTGTAACCTTAGTAAAAAAAAAAAAAGAAAAACGAAAAACGAATGTGTAGTAATAAATGCGATTTGGTCGTATAATTTTTAGCAATGGTTTATTTTAATTATTCAGTAATAACAAATATATTTATTATTTTACATTTAGTTCTCCTACAACAAAAGTAAATCGGCTGATTATTAATGATACGCTGCCTTTTGTGACTTCTTCTACTAATGTCGTTTAGCTAAACCTAAAAGCTTTAAACACGTATTCAATGAAATCATTGGATCTAGTCCTATATACAGCACTTCTGCTACAGATTTTACTTGAACCTGATACATTTTTGATATAAGATATAGCACAGAAAATAGATGTCATAGTTTTCTTTTTTTTAATAAATTTTTTATTTTTTTTATTAAAACTTTTTAAAAAAAAAATGTATTATTTTTTTTCGTATTTTGTTCATTATTAAATCAATCGTTACTGAAAAATACCTATCTTTATATAGGTTTTTTTGAATGAAAAAAAAAAAATAGAGATAATTCGATTTGAACAAAAAAGCCTAATAATAGATTTAGTATCTTTTGTTTATGGTTTTATGGTAATAATTGTCTAATAAAATTTTTTTTTATTTATTTTTTCTGTACAAGTTAAGCGTAGAATAGTCGTATATTTTTATTAAAAAGAACAGATGGGTAAAGATAACACGTAATAATACAATTTTAGATTTTTAAGAAAGGGATTCATCAGGTGTTTATTATACAAATTGCAGTAAATAAAATTTTTTTCCTGACATATACATTTATTATTGATCGTTAAAGCCAAAAATCGAAGGATTTTTTGTTTGTTAAATGGTTGCCTTTTTTTTTTTAGGAATTACATAGCATTGAGAAATAATTATTGTTAGTTGATTGAGTTGTTGAGACTATATCAAATATTAAAAATTTAAAAAATGCATTTATATATATAAAAATGCAATTATAAGCAGTGTTCAGCATTTATTAACGAAGTTTATATACAGTTCCTTTTAGAAACATGCAGTGCACAATATTGAGATTTCAATAAAATAAAAAACAGCATAATAGATAATTAACTCTGCTGTGAAGTTTTTGTTTTTTTGATCATTCGTTTCATCAGACAAGGTCAGGTTTGCTATTATAGTAAGACCTTGAAATGCTTCGTAAATGAACCACATGGCAACCGTACATTGTTAGTGAAGAAACAGTAAAAATTCTTAAGGTTTATTATTTGTTTTAAAAATAAAACTACATTTAGAAGAAATTTTATGCATTCAGGAGATCTAAACATATTCACCATTTTAGTAAATACACTATATATTTTTTTGTTATGCAGTCAGAGAATCGCTTTGTTTTTTTTTTTTTAAACCAATTTAATTAAAATTTATATATATATAACAGCTGCCTGACAAGCGAAAATTTTTTTTTGAGTGCTATGAGCGCAAAAATCTAGCATGCGCAGCTATATCGAAGAGCAAAATACTAGCACAAAAAAAGAGTACCTTCATACAATCAGTTGAATTTTGTAATACTTATAAATATCAAAAAAGGAGGACCCGAAGAACATCAATTACCATAAAGAGTCAACAAACCAACCAAAGTATAGCATAGTGTAACACTAACTAAATACGATTTCTTCTAAGCGCTAAATATATATTACTGTATTAAAATAAAATTATTTACTAATTTATTTATTAGTTTAAATATATTTAAATATTATAATTTATTTATAAATTTTAAAATCATTCGGCTAATTTTTATCAAGTGTCCCAGAATTTATGAAAATAGCTGTAATCGTTTTTTTTTTAGAGGCCTGCACGGGCCGGGCCGAAATTTGAAAATTTTAAAAACCCCTCAAAATTGTGGGCCTGGTGTGTCAAGACATAGTAAATTGCAAGCCGAACTTTTAAAAAACTTAGTAAATTTTATTTTGTGGGCCGTGCGGGCCGTGCGGGCCGGCAAAAGTACAAATTTCTAGGCCCGTGCAGGTCCCTAGTTAGGACTTCGTCAATTATAGCATCTATAAATTTTGAAATTTCACGGATCCGGACCGGACTCGGGTCTAAGTGATACGAGTTCGGACCCTAATTTTAGATCCGAATCAATGTTCGGACCGGGTATGGATCTTTAAAAATACCCGCCCGGTCCGAATCATGCGGAACACTAATTCAAACAATAAATATACCAAATATATATATATTTTTTTCAAAAAAAATTAAACCGATGTATTTGGATTATGACTATTTCTTTATAAGTTCTGTAATGTTAGATCTGAAATCTACTTGAATAACACATGGCTTATTACATGTACCTTAATGTAATACAAATGTTACAAATGCCAAAGTAACTAGTAAAACTAATAGTTCTAATAGTTCTCGTAGTTCGCATATATCTCTTATAACTATTTTAACCCTTATTTCTATGATATGTACTAGTTAGATTAGATCGCATATAAATATTAAATAGAGTAGATATAGTATAACTGGTAGATATAATGGTTATTTCTCTTAGTCGATAGAAATATATAAATATCCTCGATTTCTCCCTGGAATCAACAATTAGCTAGTTGGTTCACAACTCAACAATAAATAAAGAGTAATCGTGTCTTCATACACGAATCACTTGAGTAATTTATTGAATAAACCATAAACTTGCGTACACAACTACTTATATCTTCATACTGTATATATTTAGCCGTTTGCCTCTTTCATAAGTGCAAATCACATAATCCTCTTAAAGCGTAGCTGCAATAAACCACATATTTTACTTAAGCATAAACACGGCATTGTTATCAATCGTCTAACATATCCGTCGCTCAAGTAGAATCGTTATACCAAACTATTAAGGGGTAGTTTTTAGGCATAACGGTAATATGAATTTTAATTTTTTTATGGCTTAATTTATTTATTTATTTATTTTTTACATAATTTTATTATAGAATTTGGAAGTAATTTATTTTCAACATTACACGCAAAATTAAACTAAAATCTATAAATTACTTTCATATTTCAATAATGCTCTACCTTCATAAGATTTCATAAATCATAACTATATTATTTAATATAATGATTTATTCTAATAAAATAACTGCGACTATTTCAGCCTCTAATGTTTTGCAACTTTGTGAAAAAATTATTACTTATAAAACCGTTCACTTTCATACAAATTAAAAAAAAAAATAAAAAATTTTTGAACAGATCTTTAGGTTGATAATAACTGGGAATAAAATTAAATGATGTCATTTTTGGCCAATCACAAGCATGTATTTTGATATTAAATTTTAAATTTTCTATTTCCAGATTATATGATGCAAAATTTGATGGACACACTACTGCAAATTTGAAAAGCGCGATAACGTGCCATCTATAATTTTCATGCCTTTACAACATTCAAATCCTTTCACCACATTCAATTCATCTATTTTACTTTACAAAGTTAATGAAACATTTAGAACTTTAAAGCAATTAAGGATTGGGAAATGGGAGCTTAGTTTTTTCCCTTTCTGTCAACACTCTGAATTTATTCATAATTATGCGATTTTTTTTCATTCTTCAGCGTGTGAATTCAATGTATGTAGTAAATACTTTGGATTTACATTTCTTTGCGCAGCCCTTATTGTTGCCTTTCTGTTTTGGCGTTATTGCTTTTTCAATGTTCAGTATTTGCACACGACTCTTGTCATTACAATGCCGCCTCTGGGTCAAATGTCACGATATTATTGTCATCATTAATTTGGACTGAGAGACAGAGAACGTGACAACCCCGGAAGACGATTGCATTTGTCGCATCCGTATCATACAACCGAGGATGAGACATAGGTAGTATAGGTAATATGAGTCTTAAATTTCACACAAAATGTATACCGTATATCTCCGAAAATAAGCTACACCGAAATAAGCTACTTTCCTTTTTGGACAAGGAAAGTAAAAAATGTCTTTTACCCGAAATAAGCTACTTTCCTTTTTGGACAAGGAAAGTAAAAAATGTCTTTTACCCGAAATAAGCTACCCGCATAATCGATGATAGTTGCTATATAGTAACGTCAAAATTTTACTAAATAAATCGACCTACCCTATTAAGTGAAAGTTGTTCAGGAGATCAAAATACATATATTTTGAAAGTTATATCCAAATTGGATAACCTTTTATTAATATGTTTTTGTATATTACGTTCAACGAAAAATTTAAAAATTTCTTTAAATTTATATCCGTTGAACGTAAAAATCAAAAGTTGATTAATAAAATGTTGTTTAATTTGGATGACATTTTCAGAATATATGTATTTGAGCTTCTGAACAAACTTTCATTTAATAAGAAAGGTTGATTTACTTAATAAACGTTTTCGTAAATGACGAAAAACTGCTTTTACCCGATAATAAGCTACCTGCAATATTTTCGTGTAATTTACCTGAAAAGAAAGGTAGCTTATTTTCGGAGATATACGGTAGGCCTGATTTCTTATAAATAAAGTGCCTTTGGCACCGCGCAAAAGTAGATTTTGCTATCTTACAAATAAATTCCTTATGAAAAACGTTACAATGTTATAAAACCCGCTAATATAACGATTATATAAAATTTCCTAAAACCTATCGCTAAAACTCCCACCTCTATTGTTCCAACAATCCCGAAGTAGTGAAGTTGTTTAGGTTATAGTTGATATTCGATTATTTGATAGTCTTGAGGTAGTGTAAACTCTGTCACGCCACTTGCCAAATCTAAAACGTCTCGAACAGAACCCTATTGATTGGTTATAGAAAATCGATTTTTGTGAAGCAACTGATTCGTCGTTTCATAGCCTTCAACAGCAATCACAACCGCCATGTTTTCGGGTCACATTTTCCATGACCAATATAAAAAAATCAACAAACCTATTTTTTAAATATTTAATCTACATTCTCACTATCGAGGAACATACATAAAAAGAAGCAACAACAACGGAAAATGTCATAATTAACAATAAATTGCTATTATAAATTCAAAAAATAATGTCAAACGATATTTTATTTTATTAGCTACATTCAAAAAAAAAATTATATGAATGTCGTGCTTATAAATAAAACTTATCATCTTAATATAACTAGGGTTGTAAACTTACATTATAACTTACATGATAACTTACATGATTTTGGAATTTTTGACTAAGTGAATATATGAAAATTTCTTGTAAGTTACATCGTAAGTTACATCAAAATTTTGTAATTATTGTAAGTTTTACAACCCTAAATATAACATATTGACAATTAATGAGGGAATCTGTTTCGATAAATAACGGCGAATACCAGCGCCAATAAATTAAGGTTACAAGACATATGATAAAGAGTGGAAGTGGTGCTATATGAATAAAAGGACAAATTTGTAGATGTGAATCGTATAAGGGGTTTTCGTCAAATATAATCTATTATTGGGCTAGAAGAAACCAATAATAAATATCATCAAAAAAATGATCAGAAATACAATCAATGAATTTACTTTACTGAATTCCACACCTAAATCTAAAACTGGTTCATAGAAATAATTGATGGAAATGCTTGAGCATGATTTTCATCTAATTCAATTTCATTGCTGAAAGCAAGGCTGCAAATATCTGTCAACCACAAAGTAAATAAGTAATAGAATTAACCCGATAAACGCGTACCTTTCCAAATTGTATAATTCGGTATCAATCAATGAATTGCTTGAAACAATGGATGAAAGTATTGGAGCATGACTTTCGCATAAATCAACTTCTTCATTACTAAAAAAAAAAGATAAAATAACGCAAAAAACATTAACTTCAACAAAAATAATGATAAAATGACACTTCAAATTATAATTCGGACCCAGAAATCAAGTCACTATAAGTAACCGTATTCGAAGAAAGTATCATAGTCATAGAAGGAGGGTCTGGAGGAATTAGACCGTTGGCATAAATAAAACTTATGAGTTGAGCTTCACGGTCCATAAGTTGTGCCTCATATTCTGCAATTAGGGCCTCACGCTTTGCAATTTGAGCTTCACGCTCTCGGAGTTCCGAAATTCTGGGTCTGTTTCTACGACGCCTTTCCTTATGTTTTTGATAATCTTTACGATTGGATTCACGTTTTCGGCGACGAAGAATTTCAGGGTCTTCAGATACAGGAACAACATTTGAAGGAATAGAACCGGAAGAATTGACATTATCTGACATTTCGAAAGAAATGATATCCAGTTTAATCGAAAGAAAAGTCAAAAGCTAGTTTATATACTAGAAAATAGACGAATGCAACCTTGACTTAGGACATTTCCGAGGCAATCTGTAATATCATATGATTACTGAATTCAGAATACATATCACATGATAACTGAAATCAGAATACATATCACATGATAACTGAATTCAGTATACATATCACATGATAACTGAATTCAGAACACAATAACTAGATTAAGAAAGCGAATAAAGGTTTATTTGGTATTTTGCTATTCATGGAAAAATATAGTTACATTTGAACGTAAAATGCAGTGTTGTCAAACGGTTTGCTCATTGAGCATTCTTTTATTATATTATTTAGTAAGTGACGTGATAAATAACATAATAAAAAGACGCAATTACCAATGAACAAACCGTTTGACAGCACTGGTAAATGTGAGGCAGGAAAAAATTTTGGTGTCATAAAAAGATTTGCTGTTAAGTTGATTAGGCTGAACTTTTATTGTCACGTGATCCGGTAATAATGGATTAGTGAACGCTTTAATTATTAGAATCTTTTACTAGGAAAAAAAATATAAAATAAATGATGTTAAAAGTAAAAAAAAATGAAAAAAAATGTATGAAAAAAAGAAAGAAAAAAAATGACGAAGAAAGCGAACCAGGAGGAGTCAGCCCATTATCTTTAATAAAGGTTTCGAGTTGTTCAATACGAGCACATAAGAAAATACTACGTGCAACAGTTTCGGTCTTGAAACAACGGTGGCACCTTCGGTTCCGTATGGTCAAGTTATGGCAGGAACAAGAATAAGGCCAAGAAAAAAATTTTGAATATTTAGAAACGGAAGAATTCTTCATAATTGAAACAAACGAATCGAAGGTAACGGTGATAAGAAAATGAGGATGAGATCCCCTTTTATAAGAAGCCAAATGGGAAATAATGACCAGCAGAAAATGGGCAAAAAAAATAGATGAAGGCCTCGAGGATGAAATTATTTATCTAATTGTGCCGAAAAATGGCAATTTTAGCGAGAAATTATTTATCTAATTGTGCCCTATTTTAGAGAGGACGAGATTCTTTTATAAGAAACAACAAAGGAAATTTCAATAAACTGTTCAGCGAGGACGAGATTCTTTTATAAGAAACATAAAAGGAAATTTGAATAGCAAGGGGATCGTCTAAAGCCAAGCAGTAATTTATATGCCTCACGTGACTTTTACTTTACAAATTTATTATTAATCAATTTAAAAACTACCTGGCTTTAGACGATCCCCCATAAAAGGAAATTTAAATAGCTGTCCTGAATTCAGTATGCATGAAATTGAGTACACACATGCGTGCGTACGTAGGCAATCCAAAAACGAAAAAAAAACAGGGTTACACGAGCTATTTATATTGCTTATAATAAAATTTTTGACCCGAAATAAGCAAAACTAACTTGCCTCGCGTTGCTTACGCAACGCGCTTAGAGTTTAAATTTTATTGCATTTAGTGACTAAATATAAGTAAATAAAATAGATAAGATTATAATAATTTTGATATTGGGTTTAATATTATACATAATGGATGGAACGTAATAGATAGTTATGCTTTATATATTAGAGGGAAAAGATTGTAAAATACAACTTGTATTGCGGTTTGCGCAATTATTGGGTCAGATCAGTGGATATAAAACGAAAGTAAATAAAAAAAATGCAAATTTTGACTTCATTTTGCGAAATAAAGTGCGTTTCGTGCCAAATATTGTAGATTTCTTTTTTTGACTGGTTGTTATATAGTGGCCCCTTTCAACGGTTCAGACTGTTTTCAGCGGTATTATAATATATATTCGGATTATATACTGTAGCAATTTTCTAATTAGTTTTACAAGAAATTACTTTTTTTAGTTAGTATTAAACAAATTAGGTAAAGATCGTTAGATAGTTTAACAAAAAAATGTGACAATTGCAGGTACGTACGTACGTATGTACAATTGTGATAACTAAAATTATTATATCATATTCTGTGATCAGATTGTAATATTCGTTATATCAGTTTTTTATTATTATAAGCACTCGAAAACTGTTTCTTAAATACAAAAATTGTTTGATTTGAGAATTGCAAGTCATGCATGATATGTAGTATGCTATAAAAGTTATATTTAGAGATTAGAACTGGTCAAAAAAATAATGTCTGGTCAGAATTTATGTTTTATGAATTTTTGATTAGTCAAAAGGTCAGTAATATTCAACACTCATAAAACTGACTTCTAGTATTGACGCAGCCACGGCTCTGATAAAATGAATAAAAAAAAACCACCTCTTATTAATTGGCTTCTTAACCGTTTATAATTTTTATGATCTACTAATTGGATTTTATCCATTAATTAGCCAACGGTTAAGCGGTTCTAATCTCTAGTTATGCCCATACATTCAACATATTTAAATCCCAAATCTCGCTATATAATGATTCTGATCATAGTAATAATTATCTAAACTTTTATTATAGTGCAGTTATTCAGTTATATTTTAGAATTGCTTTTATTTCAAATAT